CGTTGGATGACATTTGTAACCTCCATTCTCAGGTTTGGATGGCTGTGGACAGACTGCAAAAGGAAAACAGAAACTGTGACCCCAGGTTTTAAGCAATAAATCCTATTAAAATATGTAGTAACCCAAGACCGCAGCACCACTGCATTTCAACAAACACTGAAACGTAACAAGAATGTAAAACCTAATAAAATATTGTTTTTAAAAAAATGGAAAAATAAAGCGCTTCAAAAATAGTTTAAAACCAAAAAAAAGAAAAGAAAAAAAAGAATGTGCATTATTGTCTTGCTACTCTGAAGGAGACAGTGATGAACGGTGGGCCCAAATCTCCATCTTCATCTATGAAAATGGTCATTTAATATACCCTGTAGCAGGTTCTTTTTTAAAAAAATATATCTTCTTTTTAGACTGATAATTGAAAAGCCAGAAATCTTTCCTAAAATGATTGTTGTTGCTGAGATTTACTTTGCAACTAATACTTCTGGTGACCATCACAACTATCTCAACTCATTCCAGAGGTTTGTTGCAATTTCAATATGTCCATTCAAAGTCATAAGTCCAGAGTAACTAGAAAATGCTCAAGAGATGGTAGGAATAGGAAGACAGAGTAAAGAATAAAAACAGAACATGACAAGGTAATACATGGACTTTCCATACACTAATGTGGGCATACATTGATGGCCTATTTTATATTCTGCAACTTGTAGGCAACTACTAATTGCTAGGAACATAATTAGTGAAGAGAACACAAATGTTCTCTTTTGAGAACCATGAATGAGCATTCAACAGATTTTGACATTATTATTCTTATCCATGTCTTCCCTCAGGAAACAAGATCAGTGGGATTATGAAGTCGGTTAGCCTCAAACAGTGATTTAGCCAAGACCAAGTTAAATAAGAACTTGAACTTGTTGCTTTATGTGGCTTAAAACATTATACCTATCCTGATCACCACAAGCCAAAACACAGTTGGTATGGCAGCAATTTTGAACAGAAAAGACAGATGGATAAAAAAGATTGAAATCCATTCATACACTCTGTTCCACTGATATTTCTCATCAGAATAAACAAACAATAACCAAGAATAGGAATTTATTAAATGCAGTTTGTTCTTCAGAAGACAATCCACAAAAGATTATTTTTAAGAGCAGCAGCTCACAGTACATTATATCTATTCACAAGCTTATTTAAAGTTCAGTAGGAAATTATTGTATTAATAAAGAGATAAAAACATATGTAATTATTCACAAATCTAGCTATCCCTATTAGTTGGTCTAATCTGCCCTATTCTACCCAGTCTAGACCATCCCATCCCATCCCATCCCAGAAAACATAGCAAAAAAATCACAGCGGAACATAAAATTTAACCATGTGTTGGGAAGTAGCAGGTCTATTTCTACAGAAATATTTAGCTTATTTTACCATTGATGACTGACCACTAATTATAAAAAATACTTGTTTTAGCCTTTCTTAAGCTATCATATTCTATAAATAATCTGACTACACATGTATCTCACTGATGAAACTGAAACCATAATTGTCTCATACTAAACCAAGCTATATCCTCCTTGAAGAAATGGGAATAAACAACCAGGTATATATAGCTATCACCCATCAATATTGTTATAAATATAAATAGAGATACTCAAATGCATTAAGATCATCAACAAAGATGATTGGGGTCTGGAGGCTAAAACATATAAGAAACGGTTGCTGGAATTGGGTATGTCTAGTTTAATGAAGAGAAGGATGAGGGGTGACATAATAGCAGTGTTCCAATATCTCAGGGGTTGCCACAAAGAAGAGGGAGTCAAGCTATTCTCCAAAGCGCCTGAAGGCAGAACAAGAAGCAACAGATGGAAGCTAACCAAAGAGAGAAGCAACCTAGAACTAAGAAGAAATTTTCTGACAGTTAGAACAATTAACCAGTGGAACAACCTGCCTCCAGAAGCTGTGAATACTCCAACACTGGAAGTTTTTAAGAAGAGACTGGACAGCCATTTGTCTGAAATGGTATAGGGTTTCCTGCCTGAGCAGGGGGTTGGACTAGATGACCTCCAAGGTCCCTTCCAACATCATCATCATCGTTACTACTACTACTACTACTACTACTACTACTATTATTATTATTATTAAGTTTCTGCTTAGAGTAAGCCCTCAACTTAACAGACAAAATCCAGTGGATCCTATTTCAGATAGGAACTTTACCCTGAACAATGAACAAAATCCATCACTTGGCAGATCAGATACCACTTCTTCTGGTCAAAAAGGGTATTCACAGTTGTAAGAAAGCACAGGAGTGTTTTTATTTTTGAAAAATCCCATTTGCCATTTAATATATATTTGTTTTTAATAGAGTAATATAGAGTAATATCTTTATTTGTCTTTAATATTAATCTATTAATATTAATATTAAATTTTAATAGTTTCCTCCACACTGAGTGTATGTAGTTTTATTCTGAACATGAATTAACAGTAAAGAACCAAATATTACTTGCTCCACTGTAGGTCTTCTTCATATTCAGTGCTGATTGAAAAATTACTGTTTCTCTATCAAGAATGCATAATGAAGAAGTCTTTTTTAATATACTAAAATGAATAAATGAGATCATATTGAAGGAAAAGGGTTTGTCTATGTAATCAAAGCTATACATTTATGTAATTAGATTCGGTTACATACACAGGATAAAATGTGCCTAATCATTTCAAGCTTCTTCAAAACTTTTTTAAACAAAAGACATCAAAAGAGAAATAAAGACTAATTATAGTCTTGCATCAATGCAATCACCAGCTGGAGATTCACAAAAAGCAGAGAGTTGAATTACCTTAATTAACATGCAACACTAGGATTACCACGTGGTCATTAAACCTCTGCCACTAAGAAACCATGGAGAAAACTATGCCATGCACAGAACTATCTATTAAAATGTTTTTCTGTAGCATGTCTGCCTTGCCAAGCTAAGACTATACTGTAGTTTCAGCAGTAGAGCTCTCCTATCTCAGTAAAATCTATATCTTAAAAAAGCAATAGAGCTATCCTTTCCAAAATGGAAAAGATATCCATTTCATATCTTAATATGATTGTGGAATGTAACAACAATAACAATACTTTCAGATAAGTAACTTGGCAATAATTGTAGGATCAGACCCAGAAAGCCAATGCTAGAAAGCCACATTCAGACAAGGAAAATGCACAATATTCATCTCAAATGCAAGCAATCGATCATTATAGATAGGCCTTTAAAAATAACTGCCTCCTCTCCCAAATATTATTTGCACCCGATCTCACTGACAATGAAGCAGTCTTATTTCAATTAACCAATGGAACAACCTGCCTCCAGAAGCGGTGAATGCTCCAACACTGGAAGTTTTTAAGAAGAGACTGGACAGCCACTTGTCCGAAATGGTGTAGGGTTTCCTGCCTGAGCAGGGGGTTGGACTCGATGACCTCCAAGGTCCCTTCCAACATTATTATTATTATTATTATTATTATTATTATTATTATTATTATTATTATTATTATTATTATTATTATTATTATTATTATTATTATTATTTCCATTAATTGCCAACAGGCTTTTAAAGCTAAAGAAGAGGGAACAGCAAAAATGAGTCTCATAGGCAAATGTGGTGTATATTTTGTCTCTTTAGTAATTATTTACAACACAGAGAGAGATCTTTATGAAGGCTTTGAGTTTTTCTCAGCAAACTGATTTCCTGAAATATACCGATTATTTTCTGTTGTTCTATTGAATCCTTGTTATGACATAGATGATGGTCTACAGAATATTGACACTGCTGCAGCAGTGGGAACAAGTTGGAGGTGTATAACGAACTTTC